TGCAAATGAAGCCCGGGATTTGAATTTCCCGGGCTTCATTTGCTTAAGCGGGGAGCTGCCATTTTTAAAACCCCGCTGGTTTGAACCTCGTGCAGCGTGGCTACACGGGGCTCGAACTAGGTAGTTCGGTAGTCCGAATCCTAGTCCGGACTACCTAGTTCGAGCCCCGTGTAGCTGCGCTGCACGGGGTTCGAACGAGCGGGGTTTTAAAAATGGCGGCTCCCCGCTTATGCAAATGAAGCCCAGGATATTCAAATCCCAGGCTTCATTTGCAAGTGCGGTATGCCTACATTACCCTCCTAGTTCGAACTAGGAGGGTAGTGTAGACATACCCTAACTTCTTGAGCTAGCTCCTCAAATTCATGAAGGGAACATGTTCTGGGCCTACTCTCTGGCATAAGTCAGAGCAAGTTCAGAGATGGTCTGAATTATCCTCCACTCTCACACACCCCTAGAAGCTGTCCCACAGATGAGAAAGGCCAGCCACCCTGTCTACTGGGGACTATGAGAGGAAGCAACATGGATCCATTCTGACAGCACTTCCTATAGGGTATGTCTACACTACCACCCTAGTTCGAACTAGCGGGGTAATGTAGGCATACCGCACTTGCAAATGAAGCCCGGGATTTGAATTTCCCGGGCTTCATTTGCATAAGCCGGCCGGCGCCATTTTTTAAACGCCGGCTTGTTCGAACCCCATGCCGCGCGGCTACACGCGGCACGGGCTAGATAGTTCGAACTAGCAAGCCATTCCGAACTATCTGTACGCCTCATGGCTATGATTCCCTGACCGGCCAGACCAAAGGGGCTTTTGACCCTTTTCTAGAGCTGCTGAATACCTCAGCAAGAAACCAGAAAAGTCACAAGTAAAAAATATAGCCACAATAGCAGGGCAGTATTGATGCAGTGAAGTGTTTATCATTGCTGTGGAAGGCACCAAAGACAGTTTGTCTTGTGCGAGGGAGTAGTTAGTGTGCTTGCCAGCCAGGAATAACAGACAATTATAGGGATATAGGAAAGTGTGCTGGGAGGAGGGATAGAATTGCTGGTGCATACTAGACCTGAGGGCTAACAAACTCCTGTGCTGCTGTGAGCAAAGAGCTGGCTCAGGATAAGTCTTTGAGAGGATCATGCAAACACTTACACTTTTGGATGCTGCCCTAACAGTGCCAATCATCCTCCCATTGCCACTTCCAAGTGCCCCCTCCTTTTTATATTTATCTGTTGTCACTATCAATAGTGATTCTTCAGATATCCACAAGCTACTTGATCTTAATAGAATATGAATGAGAATCCATGGAAGCATGCACCTCTGATTGATGAGCATTGGTTTTTGAATTACTCTTTGTTCCTTTATCATAAGATTAGTATGGCAGTACGTTGCCAAGACAGAAAATTCTAGGCAATGCCATGCCCCGAATGAGATTCAATAGAAAATAATTCTATTTTTCCTTTCATGGTGGCATTGATGTCAAACTGAAGAAATAAGTGGGAGCAGAGGGATGACCAAGTAATGGTTGGCTAAAATTACTAAGTACAGCAAGATACAGTGAAGATATTGAAGCAAGAGCCACCATAAGCATCAGACAAGAGGAAAAAAGGCATTGAAGCCAAGAATCTTGTCCTTATAGAAGAATTCTACTCTTTACTCAAGCATTGAACCATAGAGAATCTCCCCTTGAGTGAAGCTCATCCCTATTGTCATTATACTGGCACCAGAAATTGGCATTTTACCTCATAAAATAATATTGCAAATGCATAGAAACATTTTATGCCTAATCAGCTTCTTGTGCACATATTGTTTATTACACACATAAAGTTGACTTAGTTTGTCATTAATAGCTATTGCAGTTGTATGTAATCCTGCAATTGCTGTATTCATATAAAAATGTTTCAGTGCGCCAATTTGACATACAGTAATGCAGTTTCAAATAAAAAAAATCATGTCTAAGTGGGTGTCTTAAATTTTTTATTGGTATACTGCTTGTTATGGCTGTCTGACCCCAAACATTTAATGTGTGAAAAAGCCTTCTCAGATTGAAAAGCTGTGTTTCATCATATTAAAGTGTATCTATGACAAAGTCTCATTATACAAGATTTATATTTTCAAATTAGCAAAGGATGATGGTAAAAAAAACCAAATATCACACACTGTTCACTTATTCTTTCCCTCCAGAAGAAGAAGGGTAGGATTTCTTAGGAGTTTTTCTTTGTTTATTTAAATACATGCTTATTGGCCTTGTTAAAAAAGGAAAGATCAAAGAAATATGTCTTGCACATAGAATGGAAGGTGGTGAGATCTGCAATGACCCTTAATTCTTTGGGGATTTCATTCCACAGTCTTGGACCAGCCAAGAAAATTATGTCATGTGTGTTCTCATTTAACCATTCTCATTGTTTCTTATTCTATTCTCTTTAATCAGTTGATGTTTAATAAATTGTATTTGCTTTGAACCTTATGAAGTGATCACTGGGCCAAGAAGGCCTGCAGTGTAAAGAGAGCACCTCGGAGTGGGGACACCCTAACTCCTGCCCCTAGTGACTACAAGGTCGGGGATTAAGCCCCAGGAAACCTGGGCCCAGCCTTGTTGGGGTTTCGAGGGCTCTGCTACTCAGGAGAGTGGAGGGGGAGCCCTCAGGATCAGGGAGGCCATGGGGTAAAGGAAGTGGGAGCGGGGACTCAGATCCTTTCGCTGGTCCATTTCACCGGGGTGGTATAGAAGCCAGGAAAGTTCCCCACAATAGCGGGACCATTCCCCCGCTTACATAAGCAGCAAAGTGACTACTAATTGGTGTCCAGTGTAAGAGGGCAGAAAGCCCATTGATCAGCTAGATGTAAAAATGAGAACTGAAAGAGATGAAGCACTGCTTTAAACTGAACAAACAACAACAAATAGCATAGCAGAACCTTAAAGATGAACAAAACATGTAGATTGTATCATGAGCTTTTGTGGGTACAACCCACTTCTTCAGATGAATGGATAGTATGAATGAAGTGGGTTGTACCCACCAATGCTCATGATACCTTCTACATGTTTTGTTAGTCGTTAAGGTGCTGCCAGACTATTCATTATTTATTAAGTGTTTCTAGCTACAGACTAACTCCGCTACCCGTCTGATACGTCTAACTGAGTAATTTCCGTGTAAATTGTAACTCTGTAGTGAACTTGAGTCCCACTCTAAGCCAACCCAAAGTAACACTGCAGAACACCTTCATTCTGTTCTTTGCTATGTCACTGTCCTACATGTGATTTGTGGGCTCATCACTTCACCAATCTGTGCTTCAGTTTTCCCATATTTAAAATGTGAATAGTGATACAGACCTCTGAAAATCACTGCAAGAATTATGGGAGTATAAGAACTAGACATTATTATTTGTTATTTTTTTTCTAGTTGGAACACTTATGGTAAAAAGAAATATCCAAAAGCAAGGTGTTTTTTAAAAAAATTACTCTCCCATGAGAACTCTGAGGAGGGGCAGGAAAATTGTCCACAGCCTCCTTGTGAGTTTGTCCAAAATAGCTCTGTAATGAGCAGCAGAGCTTGTACTGAGTGGATTCTATTTTGGGGCATCCTTCTCCGCAGATCCAAAGGGGCCTACGCACATTGACAAGAATGTTATAGCCCCTGTTATCACTGGGTTCTGTTCTTCCCTTCCAGCATCTGGCTCTTATGTAATATAGGTTGGTGATTGTCCAAAAGCTGCCCCATGAGGAGACTCCTCATTTGAGGGAGGCACCTAAGGAGACTGAAAACATGCTTGGGCTGTATAAACTTTCCTGTATAAAAATATGGTACGCCCACATCTTGAATACTGTGGTCTCCTTACCTCAAAAAAGATATTTTGGCCTTGGAAGGGTTCAGAAAAGGGCAACTAAAATGATTAGGGGTTTGGAACGGGTCCCATACGAGGAGAGGTTAAAGCGACTGGGACTTTTCAGTTTAGAAAAGAGGAGACTTAGGGGGGATATGATAGAGGTCTATAAAATCATGAGTGGTGTGGAGAGGGCTGATAAAGAAAAGTTATTTATTAGTTCCCATAATAGAAGAACTAGAGGACACCAAATGAAATTAATGGGTATCAGGTTTAAAACTAATAAAAGAAAGTTCTTCTTCACACAGCTTGTAGTCAACCTGTGGAACTCCTTGCCAGAGGAGGCTGTGAAGGCTAGGACTATAATAGAGTTTAAAGAGAAGCTGGATACATTCATGGAGGTTAGGTCCATAAAAGGCTATTAGCCAGCGGATAAAATGGTGTCCTTGGCCTCTGTTTGTCAGAGGCTGGAGAGGGATGGCAGGAGACAAATTGCTTGATCATTGTCTTCGGTCCACCCTCTCTGGGGTACCTGGTGCTGGCCACTGTCGGGAGACAGGATACTGGGCTAGATGGACCTTTGGTCTGACCCAGTACGGCCGTTCTTATGTTCTTATGTTCTTATGTTCCTGTGGCTTTCCCAAAGGGTTATTTGGTGAGGATGTGTGGGATGGTCCCCTCCCTATGGATGGTTTACTGAATGATGGAGAGCTATCCATGAGCCCACAGATAGGAGGAATGGTAAAAAAGGAGACAGACAAAACGTATCTATGTGCAGAGTCTCCTTTAGGCACATATCTATATAGTATGATCTGATTAATTAATAATTAAGAAGCATCAATTGAAATAAATATTCTGATTCAGAGTAGACTGAAGCATTTGTGATCTGTAAGCTAAAGCGTACGATTTATATGAAAACAGTGCTTTCTAATCCCAGCAATCTTATTGCCAATCTGTTTTCCATTAGACCCATGACTGCAGTGCTGTATTTATCTACTGCTGTTTTCCACAGTCAATAAGTATAGAAAGAATACTGCACGTCTAGCAGTTGATAAGGTATCAAAATGGTTTACTTCCTGACACTAAAAGGTTAGTGAATCTCCTTTCTACTCTCCTTGAGCATTTAGACTATGGTAGACACTACAGTTTAGAGGTTCATTAAATCAATAGCAGCTACCATTTCCATTTTTATTTAGCAATAAATCACTTAAAGTGGTAAGCTTTTTATGAGTGTTAACTTATGTAAAAGACTTCAAACCACTGTAGAGATAATAAACATAGCTCTGGATCCATAGAGGACTACAAGAATCCTGCATTTATAGACCTGGACAATGTCACAAAAGGAATGGACAACAATCCGAAGGTATGTAAAATCAGAAATGCTTTCAATTATTCTGTAGGGGACAGCAGAATCTAAATAAAATCAATATCTTGTGGGGCAGAGTGGGAGAGAAACACTGAACTGCCTACTCTCCACACCTATATATGGGTAGGTATATTGTACCTGAATTATTGCAAAATTAGCAACATTCCACAATTAATATTCTTTACATTAACAAACACAGGTTGCATGTATTCTTTTTTTTAATGTAAATCTCTTCTTTTATACACAGACCTACTGAAGCTGAACAAAACCAGTGAGATAAAATTAACACACAAATTGTTTTTACTCCCTTTGGGCAGGAAAAAGACATTTACAAGCAAAATGCAATTATATATAAATAGTTATGAAAACAAAAGGAAAAAAGTAAAACATCAATGGAAGTTTTTTGTGCATGGGTGTATGTAAGAATGTAAGGTAGCAAAAGTAATATAAAGTAGAATATTTGATTGCCAGCGAGTCCTAATTGGGAACTTATTTTAGAAGTGGAACATTTTCTATACCTTCTCTCGTTATTGGAAAATTCTAAGCCAGAGCCTGACTGAACGGAATTTAGATTTTAATTAACCATGAATATAGATAAGTTCTGGTTTATGTCAGTCTTGAAAACACTAGAATTAGATGTACAGTGCAAGGAAAACTCCCTCCCTCACCTCTAACCCCTCTTCAACTATAGTGTTATGACAGATAAGAATTAAGAAAGCAACAGGGAAAATAATTTGTGTGATGATTCTTTGTGGAGAATCCAATCTGCCCAGAGATTTAAATGGAACTACTTTAAGTAACGGGCAACATTTTTCATTTACTGAGACATCTGGAGGAACCTGTGTGATCATGTGACTGGGAAGCTGTAGAAATCATTATCTTTTACTGCTACAGCTCCAGGTCTTTGATAAAATAACTTGAATATGAAGCTGCAGATAATAAACTGTAAGCAGTACCCACAGCACACTTTCCTTGACTTTATTTTTAAACGTATTGTTTTTGTCAGAGACTTCCTGGAAATCAAGTGCTGGTTTGGCTTGCTTGCTTGTTTGTTTGGATCCCACATTTTAATAACACCATTTCTTATGAAAACACTGAAACCGTGGTTTTCAATTGACTCAGAATATGTAAGGGCAAGTAAATAAAATTATAACAGAAATTATTTGAAGAAGTATTTTAGAACTCAGAAAATGGTATTAGTGTGATACAGCATATTCCAAGGCTGCTTGTTAATATACTGCAAGCAGCTGAACCTATGTATTGTAGTAGAGATTTCAGTGTTGTAACAGCTACCCATTAAACAAAACACTTTGGTACATAAGAATAAAATATTAAATGCCTACCTCTAAAGCAACAAATAATACTTCGAGCATTCCATGTGAGATTACTGTGAGAAATAATTCTGCCCTATCACACTAGCTCATTCTCTTCCAAAACTGCTGTTAGTATGAGGTGTTTGAAACAAAGCATTTTGCTGCCACACAATGCAATATCACAATATTTCGAGGCAGTCACGGGTAAAACTCCAAGGCTATGTCTATATCGCAGGCTTCTTGTGCAAGAACAACTGCTTTTGCGCAAAAACTTGCGGAGCATCTACATTGCACACGTGTTCTTGCACAAGTAAATTTATAGTAAGGCGTTGGAACAGAGGGCTTCTTGCACAAGAGTTATTCCTCCCCCTACAAGGAATAAGCCCTCTTGTGCAAGCGCTCTTGCGCAAGAAGGCAGTGTGGACGGGCAACAGGGGTTTCTTGCGCAAGAAACCGCTATGGCTAAAATGGCCATCAGAGCTTTCTTGCGTAAGAGAGTATCCACACTGCCATGGATGCTCTTACACAAAAGCACATCTCTTGCACAAAAGCACATGGCAGTGTGGATTTGCTCTTGCGCAAAACAGTTCTTGTGCAAGAAGCCTGCAGTGTAGAAGTAGCCCAAATGTTTAGAGAGTCAGTTAGGAGAGCACCTAACTGTTCACAAAATATTGTAGTTTCCTCTCCTGGAATAAGTATTTATGAAGCCGAAAATGTGATTTGAAAGCAATAAGTCAAACTAAAGATTTCCACAGAACAAAGATATGTTTTTTTCTTCCTCTCGTTTCAATATGAGATCAAGCAACATGTAGTCACTTGAGAGTCAACTTGTTGATATATTTGGAAGTTTGATATGTACAAAGAATATAATGCTTAGCCTTAGAGACTAGTATTAGCAAAGAGTGTCCTGGATCAATCCTTTACCACACCCTCACCTCAGATTAACTATGATTGGCAGTTCATGAGCCTATCAAGTATATTGGGGTTGGATGAGGAGTTCATGCAAGAAACAAAGTCATATTTTATATGTATTATTAATTATAGTAGTTTGATTTTTGCTGAGTTTTTGAAGTTACTTAAGAAAAATAATTACTTGGTGTGTGTGTGTGTGTGTGTGTACTTAAAATAAACTTACTGTATTTTCCGGCGTATAAGATGACTTTTTATGCTAAAAAACATCCCCCAAAAATCGGGGGTCGTCTTATACGCCGGGTATACAGGCAGTCCCCGACTCGCAGGTACGAACGGGACTTTTCTCGCCCCGGAGGGCGGGCCCTCGTGGTCCCGCCGCCCGTGTACTCCGGGGTGAGAAAAGCTGCACCACGTCTCCCTGGTCTGCAGACCAGGGGGACGTGGAGCAAAGCCGTGGAGGGGCTCCGGCAGTGGGGCAGCCCAGGCGTGCCGCTGCTGTCCCGCTGCCGGCGTCCTCAGAGGTTTTGCTCCCGGTTTCCCTGGTCTGCTGGAGACGGTCCCCAGCAGACCAGAGGCACCGGGAGCAAAGCCGAAGCGGCAGCGGGGTCCCGCACTTCTGAGGCTTTGCTCTGGCAAAGCCTCAGAGGCGCGGGGGCGCTGGGGTGCTGCCGGTTGGCCTCTTAAGGGGGGTAGTCTTATACAGCGAGTATAAGATGAAAACCTATCTTTTAACTAGAAAATTAGGGGGTCGTCTTATACGCCCAGTTGTCTTATACGCCGGAAAATACGGTATTATTAATGGCCACCAATTATACTGTGCATATTTTAAAGTAATGTTGAAGTGGACAAGTGTCACATAAAAATACTAACCTCTGAAATCATTTTGGTCTCTTCAGTTGTCCCTGGGGAAGTGCTTCAGAACCTGTAAGAACTGTAAACTGTCGACAACTTGAAAATTGTCAACAATCCAAAGTCCTTAGCAATTCAGTGTTAAAATGGCAACTTATTAAAAAATGAGTCAGCTCGTTTAAAAATAAATTCATAATGCCCTGCCAAACACCATGGTTTCTGTGTTTGTATGACTTTAGGGTCATATTGTGTGACACAATCACATTTTGTAGCAACTGATACTGTATGTTGTCCTAGTGATCTCAGGCTATTTTTGATTGATCTTGATTGAAGAAAACAGGATCTTGTCATTTCCATTCAAATATTGGATCCCTTACTTGAATGCAATTGTCCTGAAAATCTCAATAAGCGGTGCTTTTGTTCTGTGGTTATGATCATCTACTCTTACCTGCATAATAAAGGCCAAACATAAATTAGCAGTGGATGCTTAAAAGCAATTAATCTCCTGATTATGGGCCCAGTACACTTCTTCTGCACTACTCTGAAGAAAAGTTGTTTTCCTGTATATACATAAACACCTATTTCTTTCTTATCAGTAATGAGAATGCACCAACGTTCTGATGTGAAAAGAGACATTACTAGATGCAACTATTACTATATACATGATAAAGCTAAGGTGTAACTAAAGATTCTGAGAACTGGTTTCTTAAAAAGCACAAGAGTTCAATTTAATAATAATACCTGTTACCTTGCACTCTTCATCAGTAGATCAGGACAACTGAGAGTGTATTTAATCATGATAAGTGATGTGCACATGCAGCTAGGGACACTGAATAAAACTGCTCCTAAGTCTTATGTATAGTTAACCTCATTTGTAGTTTCATTCTTTCTCCCCCATTTTATTCATGTTATTCTTAAGCACACGTGAACAAATTGTAGCAGTGTGAATAAGTTGTATAATATTTATTATATGCTTTTTCCATATTTTTTCTCTTGATATTGTTTACAGATCAAAATTTCTGCAAATATATTAAAAAAACATTTGCCAAATTCTACAACTAATTTTTGGTATATAGATTATTTGTTAGTAGCAGTTTATTTTGTGTAGTCTGGCCTGATTGGACACAAGGACTTTTGCCAACTTGCACTTTCAAAAATAAATCAAGCCTCATTCTCAATAGTGACAAAATGGGTTGAAATAATTAAATTAACAAAGTGGGAGGTTTCTTTGACAGCAGGGTTGGTTTTTGGGTTGGGTTTTGTTATTTTTTTATATATATATATATTCTGATCATTAATATTCTTCAACTTCTAGCCACAAAAATGACAAGATTTTTTTTCCTTTTTTATTTAAAGGTAAAGCTTGCATGTTTAGGAACCAAGGCTTTAAGAAACTCATCAGAGGTATGTCTGTTCTGCAGTCAATGATCTACAACATTGCCCTGATTGGCTCAAGTCAGCTGACTCAAGATTCAGAATACACAGCTATAAAATTGCTGACTGTACATCTGAGTTCAGGCTGGAGACTGGCCTCTGAGGGCAAGTCTACACAAAGGGCTAAACTCAAAATAAACTATTCAATTTCAGCAACACTAATTGCATAGCTTACGTCGAAATAGCTTATATTTCGACTTTTGGCACTGTCTACTTAGCAGTGTAGTTATTTCAAAATAGAGCACTCTTTTCCAATTCCCCTTACTCCTCATACAATGAGGTTTACAGAAGTCAGGGTAAGAAAGCCCGTTATTTCACATTTATTTCAAAATAATGGGCTTGCTATTTATTCCAAAATAATGGTGCTGTGCCACATGACCCTCCAGTGTGGGAGGATCCCAGAGCCCAGGCTCCAGTCTGAGCACAAACATCTACATTGCTATTTTTAGCCCTGCATTCTGAGTCTTGCAAGCCTAGGTCAACTGATACTAGCTCTGAGACTCAATACCATAGATTTATTGCAGTGGAGATGTATTTTAGTATCTCTGGGTGTGTCTAGACTACAGGGTTTTTGTCGACAAAACTATACCTGCATATACACTGCCGCTGAGTTCTGTCGACATAACGTCGACAAAACTCAGCAGTTTTGTCAATGGCTGTAAACCTCATTCTATGAGGAATAACGCCTTTTGTTGATGGAGTTCTGTCGATGTAAGGCGTTATTGCATCTACACTGTCCTTTGCGTCTACACTGTCATGTCGACAAAGTGACTTGCTTTGTCGACAGAACTGGATGTAGTCTAGATGCTCTTTGTCAACAGACGCTTTGTTGACAGTATCTGTTGACAAAACTTCTGTCGACAAAAGCCTGTAGTCTAGATATACCCTCTTAATCCTCTTACGCAAAGCATTCAAGCACTTACACTTTCTGATGTCTTAGGTTCATTTACTTCAGTGAGTCACCTCAGATGTGTAAAGTTAAGCTAATGATTAAGTGCTTTGCTGGATCAAGGCCAAAATGGTTATCCTTAAGCAAAGTCATTTCTGTAAGGCAAAACACTTATGTATATGCTGAAGTCTATTGTTATATTGGGATTAGAAGTAATGCATGGATGGGGGTGCTCATGGGGTCATGTGTCCCACCGGATTTCTTCCTAGGTGGGAATTGTGTTGAGTGTCACTGTGCTTAATATGCCTGGGACATACTTGTGGCACCTAGCACTCACTCTGAGTCTTCCTAGGAAGTGCCTAGAAGAGGGAAAAGAGACTGGCTGGCAGCATAGCTTCACCAGATGGGACAAAGGGAAGCCAGCTGAATCCCATCTTTTCCTCGTCTGCAGCCACAATTACCAATGCACTGCAGAAGATGTCCAGAGCTTTCTCCAGTCCATGCTGCACCTGCTGCTGGGAGGTGATAGAAGAACAGGGGAGGGAACTGTGAGGATAGGGGGAAAAGTGGCATCGACTTGGAGTAGATATGGCAGATGTAGGAAAGGCAATGTGTGCGGTGGTAACATATCCCCACCATCAAGAGTTACATGTCATTTCTTCAGGTCACAGGCATGACCAATGATAATGATAACAAAATCTCCCTTCTTGTCAGCAGACTCTGAATACACATCTGGAACGTGAGGAAGAACATAGATCTGTGTGAGATTCCTGCATAGAACTGCAGTTCAAAACAGCTGTTCTAAGGACCCAGGAAGCAGAGTAACATATACCACCTCTCCAGCTGGGTTGGAAACTGCATGGGGCACAGCAGCAAATGCTTCTTTCAAACCAGAGAGATGCTTTTCCCCAGGGTGACTTGGGCTGTGGAGAGGGATGGTAGGGCATGCTGCAACTGGCTCAAGATTCCTCTGGATAGATGAGGAGGACACTCAGAGTTCCAACCACCCAGGCTTCCTCCTGCTATGGGGTGGAACTTGGAGCTCCTCTGGACAGGGGTGACATAGATGGTCTCAGGACTCTGACCATGTAAAAAAGGGATGAAGGGTGTTGTTGATTTGGTTGCAGAGGGGAGGGACAGAGCTGGAACAAGCCTCCCTGAAGGGGGGCACCACCTAATGCTCATGGTCACCTCTCAGCACATTTAATTGAGTTCTATTTCCTACAATTTTGCCTGCCTGATTTAGTTATTACTAAGGAAGCTGGGGCTCATTTCTATATCTGGGGGCTGAGAGAGGAGTTGTTTCTGTTCCCTCCACTCTTACTTCTGGTTGCTTGAAGGGAGGAAGGAATACCAGTGATTCCTATTCCCTCTGTTCCAGTCTTTTGACATTATGTTGGAATTGCTGACGTTCCCCAGTCAGTGCTCTCTCTGTTGTTTTAAAGGTACCAGACTGTACAAAGATTGCTTCTGCAATCCATTTCTTTGCCTGAGATTGGAAGCACAACAATAGCACAACACAAATCAGACATGTGGATGCCATGAGAGCCATATTCAGGTCCCTTAAGAGCAACAATTTGACTACTATTGCCTTAGAGAATCTTTATCGCAGTCCATAAGTTTTCTACATGTTGCTAAAAGACTCAGGGCAAACACTTACACAGATCTATTTTGCATTTTGAGTACTCTTTCCAGATTTCTAAAATAGGAAAAAACCGAGAAGAAAATACACAGTTTAAAGTCTTTCTTAACTTTCAGTTAACTAGCTTGATTCCTGCAATGATGGAATTATTTCATGTTTATCACTTTGGCTTTGCTTTCAAAGGAGACAGAAAATTCACCAACTAGAAATCTCTCATCGTTGAGCATGTATCTAAAAATTAAAAAATCTTCAGGCCTAAGGCAGATTTGTAATGACATTCGAGTTTCTTGATTTCCAGAAGGGTTCCCAAACAATTATAGGAAAAAAGAAACTATTTAGGAGACTGCCATGTGAATTTCTAGATTTCTGGGTTGGGTCTTGAGCCAGTTCTGTATTGGATGGATGGAGAAGAACCCCCTAGATTTTGAAAATAGCCTTGGATTTTGCTTTCTCTATCTAGCACATGGTTTGGCAATTGTGTTTCACACAATTCATCCAGTCAGTCAGCTCCAACCACACAGCCCTGGGCTTCTGACTGGGTGGAGCTGATTAATCACCTGTGAAGCTATGCAGCTGCTTAGAGGGAACACTGGTTTTCAACCTGTGATTCATGAGCCTATTATGGCTCACTAGGGAGCCAAATATGGCTCTTCTGGAGTCCCAAAGTAGTCCTGCTTTTCCTGCTACAGCAGAGGGGGAGCTCTGGCACTATAGCCTTTCAGCCCCCTGCAAGATTGGAACTCTAGCACCATCTTCCTTTGGAGGAGAGGGTCAGGGGAGAAATCCCCAAACCTCGCCACTGGATCTGGAATGTAGGGAACAAGCAGAGCAAGAAAATGGCACTCTGTGCTGCCTTTTTTCTTCCCCCAGCATGTCACACTGCCGTTTTCCTTCCCCGAGCTGGGGGCCAGCCTTGTAGGGATGCACTTCCTGGAGGTTTCCCCTGCAAATCCTTCCTGGAGGCTTCATTCTGGTACATAGGAGCAGTGGGAGGTCATGTTACATGGTGCCTGTGATGTGGTGTGAACCCCCACTCCCTTGGCTAGACACCATTCCACCAGCCTACTCCTGTCCCTAGTCTGTTCTCAAAACATCTTTTGCATTCAATTGCAGATTTATGAATGAAAAAAAAATCAATTTTCTGTAAGATTCTCTAAAGTTCACAGGATAGTTACTTTTTGGGAAACATTTCTACAGTAGCTCACTCTCTAAAATATTAACAGGAAATGAATTCATTCAAAATTAATCCATTAAGCAATTGAGCAAATCTTTAGGGGAAATAGTTGGCAGTATTTTCAGAGGTCTAGTTATCTGTAATGCTAATTGAATAGAGCAGGAGAGACTAGATAAATACCATACCCTCTTGAGAATGTTGCATGATCTTGGGACTTAATCAGCAGAGAAAAGACAAAGAAAGATGGCTATGACTTGCATTTTCTACATTGCTTGGGAAAGCGAGTCCAACTTAACCCTAGTTTCTGATTGCTTATGTTATTCATAATACAACAGGCTAGTGGCTCAGCTGGTACAAATATGTGTAGCTCCATTTACTTCAATGAAAATGTGCTGATTTAAAACAACTAAGCATCTGGCTTTCTTTATTTTGTTTTATTTTTCAACAAGGCTAATCTATTCGGCCTTTTTTAGTTCTCTTTGTAGTTGATATTATTACAAAGTTTAAAAAAGCCTATTACTACAACATTTTGATTTAACACCTTTTTTCTACATTAACTTGGACAGCGGAACCAATTAATTTCCTATAGCACTATAAATATTCACTATACTTTTATTTTCACAGATTTTTAAATCTATGAAAATACTGAACACAATTACACTGACTATATTGGATGGGTTCTCCCCCCCCCCTCCCCCCCGGCTCTGAGACTCACTGCTGTGTGCTTTAAAATACTTTGAGACCATAGACAGCAGGTATAAGAGGCTAGTGAAGGATAATCCTCCAAAGAAATGATGTGGTACAACTGCCTTTGGAAGCTCACTGTCTTTGGAGCACCACCAACAAAAAAGCATGAAAGCCAGTGCCCCATCTTGATCCTCCCCAGTGACCTACTCACATTCATGCCCTTTCTCAGTGGTTATGCCTGTAGTGCTCCTTTTCCTGCCCTCTCCTCTGTTCCTGTTCTAGAGACTGCTCTTGCCTCTCCACCCCTTCTGCCATCTCCCCTTGTGTGCTGGTGGTGGAGAAGCAAAAGCAGTGATTGGGGGAGGCTCAGGGGAGAGGGTATGAGTGGCAGGTGGAAGAGACCTTTGGAGAGGCACAAACAGTGGTGGGGAGCACAGAGTGAAGGGAGGAGAGGAGCAACTGATTGGAGATATCTTCAAGGGAGGAAGTGGAAAGGTGTGAGTTGTGAGTGGCATGGCCTTGGGGAGGAAACAGAGAAGTGGATGGGCCTTGAGGGAGGGGTCTGGCCAGGAATGGGGCCACCCTGCTATGAAGTTGTAGAAGTGTTTGGAATGCAGTGCTACTGAATATAGGGAAACCAACACATCATCTCTTGTGATTTCTGGGTGAAGAGTCAACTAATATGCTGCCACCATCTTTAATATGATATATTTGAACGTAATGGTCATCTACAAGAACTGTATTGGGAATGTTAAAAAAGCTCTTAATAAAGGAAAATATCCATATTGCTGTTATACAAAACCACAGGTTTTTTTAATGAACAAAGCCTATCTATTTCAGGTACGTCTGTCAAGCAATTAAAAATAAATTGTGATTAATTACATGATTTAAAATGTTAAATAACAGAATACCATGTATTTAAATATTTTGGATGTTATAAGACAGAATACTAATAAAGAGGTAGCCGTGTTAGTCTGATCTTGCTAAAACAAAAGGAAAAACTAAATTTACAGGGCTCACTTTATATTTATTTTTAATTACAAATATGTACACTAAAAACAAAAGAAATAGTATTTTTCAATTTCCCCCATTCAAGTACTATAGTGCAATCTCTTTATCTGAAAGTGGAACTTACAAATGTAAAATTATGTACACAAAATGAATGCATTCACAAATAAAACAATTTAAAACTTTAGCGCGTACATTCTACTCACCCTATTTCTTGTTCACCCAATTGCTCAGATGCACAAGTTTGTTTACATTTTCAGGAGATAATGCTTTTTGCTTCTCATGTACAATGACACTTGAATACAACAACAAGCCTTTACATGGCCCTGTTCTGGAGGCATCACAAGAAATTTATGTGCCAGATGTGCTAAGGATTCATATTCATTCTTTGACCACCATTCCAGAGGACATACACTCATACTGATGAGGGTGTCTTCTTGAAACGGTCCAATGTGTGGACCAATGCATGTTCATTTTCATTGTCTGATTCACATGCCACCAACAGAAGGTGGATTTTCTTTTCTAGTGGTTTGGGTTCTGTAGTTTCTGCATAGGAGTGTTACTCTTTTTTAAGTCATCTGATAGCATGCTCCATACCTTGTCCCCCTCTAATTTTGGAAAGCACTTCAGATTCTTAAGTCTTAAATTGAGTGCTGTTGCTATCTTTAGAAATCTCACACTGGTACCTTCTTTGTGTTTTGTCAAATCTGCAGTGAAAGTGTTCTTAAAAGGAGCTTGTGCTCCTCATCATCCAAGACTGCTGTAACATTAAATATATGGCAGAATGTGAGTAAAACAGAACAGACAATATACAATTCTCCCTCAGGCAGTTAAGTCAGAAATGTAATTAACACATTTTTTGATGATCATCATTGGCCCTGAAGTATGTCCTCTGGAATGTCGGCTGAAGATAGAATGGGAATATAATATCTGGCACATAAATGCCTTGCTATGCCAGCTACAAAAGTGTCACCTAAACACCTATGGCATTGTAAATAAGCAGGCAGAATTATCTCCCATAAATAGATGTGGATCTCCAAATGATTGCCTGAGCAAGAAGGAGGACTGAATGGACTTGTAGGCTTTAAAGCTTTACATTGTTTTGAGAACAGATATGTAGCAAAAAAACACCCTACATTTGTAAGTTGTACTTTCACAATAAAGTGATTGAACTACAGTACTTGTATGAGGTGAACTGAAAAACGGTCTCTCTTTTGCTTATTATTTTACAAGG